CGCCGATGTTCGGTAGAAGGCCGCACAAGGCGTTGGCTGCCGCAGTCACCCTCGGGATCAGGAGCTCGAAGTGTGGTCCGAAGGTCCATCCGCTGACAATGGTGACACCCACGTACTTCATTTGGCGTCTCACCGGGACCTCTTCTCCGCCGATGGTCACGGACAGTCCGGGTGGAGGTGTTTCTCTTCGGCGCTGGTTGAAGAACCAGAGGGCATCGGATTTGGCCGGCGACACTCTCAGGCCGAGCCTCCGAATGACGCGTACCGCGCATGCCACGGCGTCCTCCGTGAGATTCACCGTCTCGTGTCCCCATCGTCCTCCGGCCAGAACCAGGGTATCGTCGGCGTAGCACACCATGCCCGCGTCCGGGGACATATTACATCGGAGGACGGAGTCGTACGCCGTGATCCAGAGTATTGGTCCCAGCACCGATCCCTGCGGAACGCCGCGCTCGATCCGTCTTCGGTAGGTGTCTCGCGCGACGATACCTGTCGGTCGGGTACGCCCGGATGATCCCTACGAGGTACGCCGGAACCTCGAAGTGTCACAGGGCCTCCACGATCCTGGCCCAGGGGACCGAGTTGAAGGCGTTGGTAACGTCCAGAGACACCGCCAACGCCACCCCTTCCCAGGAGACCGTGTCTTCGGCCATTGTCCTCAGCCTCCTCATCGCGTCCACCGTCGAGCGGCCTCGGCGAAATCCGTACTGGCTGCCGTGCCATCCGGGCGTCCTCTCCGTCATGTGGGACTCCAGCCGGGAGGCGATGATCCGTTCGAACATCTTCCCCACCTCGTCGAGCAGGCATATCGGCCTGTACGCGGACGGCGAATCCGGCGGACGACCCTCTTTCCGCAACAGGACCAATCTCGCCGTCTTCCATGTCCAGGGGTAGACGCCCTCCTCTAGGCATCTGGTGAACAGATGTTGCAGGCGGGGAGCCATGATGTCGATTAACTCCATCCAAACTCGGCCTGGGATTCCCGGTGCGACGTCGCGGGACGCCATCCTCCTTGTAGCTTCGAAGAGCTCCTCTTCGGTGACTCGCAGCTCCTCGCTCCATCCCGTCGTCGTCGTC